GCTAGTGCTAGGGACACAAACCCTTTAGAGGAAAATGTTGACTATTATGGCATGATTAATGACATCATTAAGTTGGATTATTATGGCAAGTGGAAAGTTGTCTTATTTCGGTGTGATTGGGCTGATATGAATAGTGCAAAGGGTATTAAAAAAGATCAGTATGGATTAACTTTGTGAATTTTTCTCGATTAATTCACACTGGACAACAACTCATCGATGAACCTTATGTTTTTTCATCTCAAGTCAAACAAGTTTTTATTTTGAAGATCCTAAATAATTGGGTTGGTTTGTTGTTCTTTGAAACACACCTAGAGATTTATTTGATATAGGGTTAGATACAAGACATGATCTTAAACATGGCACTAAATGTTATCCTTTTACTGAACAAAACTTGGATGAAAATATCTCTAGCACCTACTCTCAATGGGTCCGCGACGATGTTAATGAAGACATTTATGAACCATGATGGATCATTTATATTTTATAATTTGAGTGTTTAAGACATAATATAGTAAATGATTGTATGCAATTATGTCGCATTTGCTATTGTATATTTATTATATTATAAATTATACATTATCTTTTGATTTAATTAAATCGATATGTTCTTTTTGTATCATAGGTTATGATTTCTTAACTTCTCAATGCCTTTATATTTATTCTAAACTAATATCTTTTATATATTTTTTTTTATGATGTAGCTAAGCTACAATGCAGAGGAGTAGTTTAAGAATACATATCAAAGATATTAGTTTAAAACCGTCAGTGGCACCTATTGATATTGGTGATGGTCTAAATCCTTTGGAAGGGAATGAACATACTGTCGGATCTAACTCAGTCACTTCTAACCTTTCAACTGATATTAAATTTGGCAATAAAGGAAGTCTAGGTTTAGATAGTATCTCGTCAATTGATTATGCTTTAAATTTGAATACAGGTATCATATACCCCATATTTACAAATCGATTATAATGATAAAAGTATTGCCATTTTACAAATTTATTTTTTAATTTTTGCAATTGATAACAATGGTTAACGGAGGACTAGAGGCTAGACAACTTTGAATGAATTATTTGCATTACCTTTGAACAAGCGTATTATAGTGTCTGCAAACTCTGATAGGCAACCAATTGGTGAAGAGGCTCAATTGTTGGCTAGATTTCTAGGCATGCTTGCCAATAATTGAATGAAATTGCCTATTCATTATGAAACATGGCATAAAGTTCCAGTAGAAATAAAGGTCGATGCTTTAAACTTTATTAAGGTATTATTATAATTCATTACACATAAAAAATTTTAATTATTTTAAATTTGATTTATTGATTAAAAGTTTTCTTTTTTGTATTATTATAGTCAAGATTTGTACTTGAAATACCAACTTCATTTATGTTTAAGTCATTAAGAAAGAAATGAAAATATTATAAACATAATTTGAAGAACAAGTATTTTGATAGAAATACAACTGTAAAGGCGACATTGGAAAATCTACCATGTAATGTGATTAGGTGGCAATATGAACAATTAGTTAGATTTTGGTTCTCAAGAAAAAGAGAGGTACTAATTTATAACTTTGTATAGTAGAATGAAATAATGAAAGTGTTTTATGCTTTAAGTTAGTAATATTTGTATTTCTATGATATACCCAATTATTTTTTATAATAGGAAAGAGAACAAATTGGGATTGGTTGCAGAAAGCAATGGAAATATAGCCACACAAGTGGATTAAAAATTTTTGTAAGAAAGCAAAAAGAAATAGTAAGTTTATGATTTTAAACTTATTCCAATGAATGAACTTTTTGTGATGTTAAAAGGTAAATATGCAAATTAACAGTTATTATACTATTTTAATAGTTTTGATAGTTTCAATACATGATATTAAACTTATCGAAAGTTTTGAACTTAGTTGAGACAAATGATATGTGTGAAAAAGTTATTGTTTACGTCTATTTAGGTAAAATTACAAATTTTTTGTTATTGTTCAATTTAAATAGTTTGGATAGCTTCAATACTTGATATTAAACTTGTCTGATTAATTGAACTTTGTTTCTATGATTGATATGGGTGAAAAAGCTATCGTTTATACCTATTTGGGACTATTTTTGCCTTTAAAAGGCAAAAATACAAATTAAACTTTTGGATGGCTTCAATCCATGATATTAAACTTGTCCAAATAATTGAATTTGGTTGCCATGATCAATATGTGTGAAATGTCAAAATACTTTTATTGTTTGCGCCTATTTAAGACTACTATGTTGTAAAGGGGCCAAAATATAAATACATGATATTAAAATTATTCAAAATTTTTAAATTTGATTGACAAGCATGATATACATGAATAAGTTACGGTTGATATGTATCCTATCAAATAACATATGTTTTTGTATAAGAGATTGAGATGGGTGATCAAATTAGATGTGTGAAACTTTTTTGCTTAACACACATAAAAAAAGATGAATCTTACATGAATGTCAAAATACAAGAAATTATGGTAATTTGTAATATCTATTAATAACAGAAAGTAAATATTTACTTTTTTTAATATATTATCAATTAATAATTAAACTTGATAGTTGTATATGACTAATTTATAGGAAAAAGCGAAAAAGAAAATGGCCGCTGAGATTGAAGTAGCATTTGATGGTTCTCTCAACATGCAAGAATTGAAAAATTGAATATTCATATAAGTTGTTGGAAAAGAAAGGCATGGACCGGTCCTAAGCCTTGGATTGGGTCCAACACTATCTACGTACTATGGATATAGCTCTCAGCAATTTACATTTTCAACAAGTTAGTTTTCGCAAGACATTTCAATATTGAGAGAGGAATTGCAAACTATGCAACAACATTTACAGCAAATGGAAGCAGAAAAAGAATAGGAGCATGCTAAAATTGAGGAAGAACGTGCTAGAATGGAGCAAGAGCATGCAAAATTTCAGCAATTGCATGATCGATTTGATCATCTTATGAATTTTGTGCAACAACAATTTTCAGGAACTGATCTCGATGGTCCTTCAACTAAGGTATTATATTTAATAAATATTTATATTTTTTAATATAAAAAAAGCTTACAATGAAGTGTTAAAAATTATATGCTATTATTCAGTAGGTTCTTAAGTATGCTAGTGACTAAGGTGAAAAATTTTTTTCATCAATTGGCAGCCTTCAAAATGTATGCAGTCATCAATTTTATATATTTTTATTTTTATTTTGTTAATGTATTAAAAAAATTTGAATGTTATTATGCTAATTATTAAATTTTGTGTTAATTATATGCATATTTGAATGTGAACTAAGTTTATCTTAATTTCAGTATATGAATTTAAGCTCATTTATGAAAATAATAAATATTGACAAAATTTTTTATTTAAACAAAAATACATTTCTCAATTTCGCGGTGTTTGTGTTAAAAAATATCACTAAATGAATAATTTAGTGGCATTTGTACCATAAAATGCCATTAAAAGTAGCAGCGCTCTTACTAGAAAATGAGCTAAATTAGCGACGTTTTTGTGATACAAACGCTATCAAAGTAACGGCGTTTTTATGATAAAAACGTCACTAAATTAACTGCATGTCAAAGGTACAAACGTGTCTAATATAGCGATATTTTTCAGATACAAGCATTGCTAATAAAGCAGCATTTTCCAGATACAAACGTCACTAATATAGTGACATTTTTCAGATACAAACGCCACAAATGTAGCGGCATTTTATGAAAAACATTGCTATTTTTCGTGACGTGTGTATAGCCAGCACTCTGACTGACATTTTTCGCAAATGCTTCTAATTTTTAGTGACGTTTATAAATACCGCTAAACGTAAAAAAAAAAAACACCACTAAAAACCAAAACTCCCGTAGTAGTGCGTGCAATAAGGTTTCCTTGAATGACAACCCATTGTATTAAACTAAGGATGCACATCCACATTTTCTTTGTGTTTTTTGCATAGAAAGTAATGGTAAGTGCATTAGCTTATTTAGTTTACAAAGTTTTTAACTTGTTGGATTGAAAATTTTATGTTTTCGGCAACTAAAAGGCTTAGGAAAGGGACCTAACTTATTTTCATTCCATAACATATATCAAATAAAAAAAAATGAATTGTTTGATCAATTGCTATAGGGAAAATAACTTGGATTCCCGACAATTAATCATACCTTAACAAATCTGTTTTGAGTACTTATAAAGGGTGATTTCTTGTGAAGGAGGGAAAATTATTTGGCATCTTGTTATGTTTTGAGCACATGAAAATTGTCCCATTTTTCAATGGGGTAAGAAGGAAGAAATTGCTTAACAAATTCATTTCTCGAGTCATGGCAGAATAGGCAACACTTGTGCCAAAAGGACACCTTTAATGGAGCCTATTATTAGATAAGCAAAAAGCCCTTCATGGGACATATTCACAATCATTTTCCTTTTTTTTTTTTTTATTGTTGGTTGCTTCATTCTTGTTACATGAATTTCCACCCTAGCAAATTTACCCATCTATCCCTTTTGCAATAAATGATTTATAGATTACACTACCTAATTCCATAACTTGAGACAATTGTTTTATTAAAACTATCAAAATTTAAATTTTAATTGTTAAAATTAAAAGTCCAATACTTTTCTATTGGTTACACTACTACTGGCTAACATGAGATTGTAAATATTGTAGCATGTATGTTCGGAAAACTGAAAGGATCATTTAATTGATTTGCTTCAACAAAACTTTATCTAGAAAAGAAAAAAAATGGTATGTGGATTCTTGAATCAATTATTGTTCACAGTCCACGATTCATAAGACTCTTAAGATATCCTCCATATGAATAGCTAGTCCTTATTAATTTGGTTTAAACTACAATGAATAAAATAGCTAAAAAATTATCCTCCATATGAATAATCCTTACTAGTTTGGTATAAACTACAATGAATTAAATAGCTAAAAAATTAAGAAGAATTTGAATATATGTAATTTCAGGTGATAAAAGGGGCATTTCGGCTGCCCAATTCACCTAGAAGCTTCTCATATAATAAATACCCTAATAATAGTATAAGTAGAGCCCAAGAGAGAATCTTTTGAAAATTGGGGGCAAATTTGGTACCTTACTAAAAGCAACCTCATTATCCTTTTCCTAATCCAAGCACTGTGAAACTCAATCGGTTGGCACTATAAATTCAATGCTCCCATTAACCTCTGTTACACAGCACCATCAAAACCAGCAAGAAGAAAAAATAAATAAAGCAAGAGATAAAATTTTGCATATCTAGACGGGATGAGGCCTGCAAGCAACTCCACAACAGCAGCTACTGGAGCCGAATTCCGGCACTGGAACTCTCCCATTCCATACCTCTTTGGTGGAATAGCAGCGATGCTAGGACTCATTGCTATGGCATTAGTTATTCTAGCTTGTTCATATAAAAAAGCTCCATCCAGTTCCCATGGTGAAGCTGAAGAAAAGCCTGCCAAGCAACAAGTGACCAAGCAACTAGAAATGGAGCCAAAGATTGTTGTGATCATGGCTGGTGATCAAAATCCTACGTACCTGGCCAACCCTGTCTCTTCAACTCACCAGAATGAACAATTTTGAGAGCTTTTGATCATGTTTCAATCTTTCTTTACGGTAAATCTTTTATCTTTCAATCTTTCTTTTCATTTTTTTTTCATATATATTTTTTGTTTTCCTTTTTCTAAGTCCAGGTAATTGTAGTTTTGCGGGAATATGTAAATGTTGATGAGTATATAAAAGATGTTAATTTGTTGTGGGAGTTTTACAAAATCTTCATTTATTTTCTTTTTCTTTCTTGTTCTTCTTTTTTTTTTTTTTCTTTTTTCTGATTGTTGGACCAATATGCGAAAGGAAAAAGAAAATTACCAGAAAAAATTAAGTAAATTAAAAAGAAAAATAAATTTTCTGAGTTTAAGTTTAGCTGTTTTAAATTTGTGAAATCTTTAAGCAACCTTAGATCAATATCAGCACATTACTTGCAAAGCCAACAATCATGTGGTTAGTTGATAAAATACAGACCTATTAATTTCAAGGCTCAAATTTTGATCTCTCAAATAAAATAAAAAAATTTTGTTTGCAAAACTTAGCATAACATTAAATCTGGAGAAAAAAAAAGTGGTACTTGAAAACGGACCCTAAAGTTCATTAATTAATTATTAATTATAATTACAGAGCAAAAAAAGAACTTGGTACTTGTAGATGGATCGAAATAAAGTCACCTCCAAATTTGTTCTGGGAAATTAATTGGAACAAAAGAATAGGGGAGGGAAATAGATGAGAAAAAACCAGTCCAACCAATGGCGTCTTTGTTAGGGACAGGAGACAAAGACTTTTTTTTTTTTTTTTGGGTACTGAAAACTCACTGGGGATATGTTTGAATGTGACACCCTTAAGCTTGCTTTAAAGATGATGATTCGATCTAATGCAGCCAGTATCTAAAATGTCAAAAAGGTGTTCATATGCACAATATATGTAAAGTTAGTAATAAATGATAAGAAGATTATATATATTATAATCAAAACTAGATATTATATATATTATTTATATTTAAAATTATTAGAATTTAAAATTTGATCATTAGAACTAAAAGATTATATATATTCTCCTAATAATGTAATTACTATTCACTAGTATTATATTTTCTAAGAAGATTGACCTCTCTATATGTATATATGGACTGTATTTTGAGAAAATTGGTTAAGAAGCTGCAATTTCATTAATAGTCCGAAGAAATTAAGGTTTTGTTTGGTTAAAAAATAAAAAAGTCAGAGAAAGGAAAATAATAAGGAAATTTTGAAGACAGCAAATGAAGAAGAAAAACAAAAATCATTATCTTGTTTGGATGTCAAGGAAAATAGAAAGAAAATTTCCATTACCAGTAAACTCTAAAACTAAATTGCTAACCATTTAAAAGTGTAATACCAAAACAACATGTTGATGCAATGAAAATCTCTCTCATTGTCTATTCAAATGAAACATGAGTAGATGAAAGTATTGAAAAGTTTCCTCTCAAAATCCCCCAATTTCCTAGTGTTTTTTGTAGGAAAATAAGAAAAAAAAAATTATTACTAATTTTTCTTGATATTTTCCTTATTCTAATTTTCCTTCCTATATTTCCTTTAACCAATCACAAGAAATTAAATCCGTACCTTTTTTCCTATTACCAAACAGGGCCTAAGAAAATAGTAGAATTTCTCCTTCAAATTGATCGTATCTGTTTCTCTAAATTTGGTCCCAATTGTCAATGATGTAAACTTATCTCATGATAGATGAAAAAATAGACGTAGTTAGTGGAAAAAATACCCAAAGCACAAAATTAAAATGACTTACCTTCTACATATAGTTAGACGCCTTATCGATTAATTAATCACTTAATTATTTGTTTTGTGACTCATTAGCTAACCAAGTTTGATTAAAAATAGTTCAAAGTTAGTAATGGATTAGGTTGAAAGACGTGGTGGCTCGAAAATGTACTTGCGATTGGATGATTTGGAAGAAAAAAAAGTTTTAAGCGTTAGTGTAGAATTGGACGAGAGAGTAAGCGAAAAGAAAATGCTTGTTTTCTTAAACATGGCAAATCAATATAAAGGAAAGTGCATTTACACATCATCCTTTCTTTAGCGGGAGACATTTGAAATTAATACACCGAAACAGCTTAGTTATTTCCATATTTTTTTTGAGTTTGCCGTTGAAGTTCATTGAAATTGACCCAATTTGTTTTTCTTAATTGAAATTGTTTTTTGATTAAAAAAATTGTAATTTGAATACAAAAAAAATATGGATATTAAAATTTGAATATAAGATATTTTAAATGTCATCTATTAAATATAATTATATAAATAAATTGAATTAAAATTCGATCTTAAAATTATTTAAACATCAATGAATTAACTCAATAATACTGAAATTTACTTTAGAGCCATAGATTTCGAGTTCCGGTAAATCACAAAGAAAAAAAAATGCCTAGTTTTGGCTTACGTAATTGGCAGCCTTGCGCCCTTAAATTCTTTCAATTGAAACCAAAATAGTGCCAATTTGCAGTACGGACAGCCTCAATAAAGGAATTACATGACTATGATTAATAGCATAGAAAAATAGAAGTTAGTGGAAGAACAGAAAGTTAGAAACTAAAAAAATATTTGGGTGAATAAAATCAAATCTAATTTGCCCCTTTGAGGCTGTCAAATAAAATGGGAATAAATTAATAAAATCTAAGCTTTCACAAATTCTTCAAATATTTACTTTTCCCAAATTTTAACTGAAGTTCGTTATTTGATTAATTAGTTAATTTAGAAGTTTGGAATAACAAAATATTCTTGTACCAACTAATGGTGTCTTTAGTGCCCAAGCCTAGAGAATCTATAGCTATCATATATATTGAAAAAAATTTTATATTGATAATTTAAGGTCATTATAACTATTATAAATATTTGTCATTTTTATTTGTAGGCTTTTAATAATTTTTAAAATTTTTTTATGAGATTTAATTCACGTTTATATCTTAATTACTTGAATAATAATAATAATAATAATAATAATAATAATAATAACTTTTAAGGTCTTGTGTAATATTTTACTTGGATTTCAAAATGTAGCTTTTGAAAACAAAAGCAATATTGCTAAACACACTATAGTTTGTGTTAAAAGCATATTTTGATTACTAAAAGTGAGTCAACAACCAAAGTTAATTGGAAAATGCCGGTTTGAAATTTATAATTTAAAAAAAAATTACCAAAGACTCATTCAATTATTTATCTTGATAAAATAACATATATATTTTTTCAACATCATATACTTTTTAGATATTTTAATTTTTATAATAATATTAACTATTCAAAAATCTTAAATCATAATTTTTTTAATATGCCTTTATCAAACTTTTTTTTCCAACTGCAAAAAATTTACAATAAAAAATATCCAGTTGCAATGACGGCCATATATTTTGTGCTCATGTGTAAACCTCCAGGGCCTCTATTGTTGGCACGGTAGAGGAGACTTATGGTTTCATAGTGAATTCTCATCAAAATTAGAACACATCTTCAAATTTGAAGTTCAACCTAACAAAGTTTTAGTTATGTTTACTTTGATTTCAATCATAAAAAGTATCATTCTGTGCTGTACAATACTCTCATTACAATCTCAAATCGAAACTTAAAACCCGAAAACATGGAGAAGAATATTGAGGTAATTTAGTGAGCTTAATTGAATTTCCTTTTTAGCTAGAAATCCTTTATATTCCACTTCAACTTTGCGTAAACAGAACGGTCCCAGTCTTGATAAAGTATTTTTGACAAAAATTTTTCAAGCAATTATTTCTTTATTTGACATGATGAATGAAAAGAAAACAAAATTTTGAGTGCAAATTAAATTAATTTATTTGAGTTGGTGGAGGTGACGTCTAGGGAACTAATTAATGATTGATTAATTAATGGGTATTTTTTTATATATAAATTCAGTAGAAAAAAGAACAGTCCGATAGCACATAGAATTTTGGAAGTCAGCAGAAAATCAAAGCAAAGGAGTGTTTCATTCAATTTTTCAACTAGTTTTAGTGAGAGACAATATAGATTTTGTTCAAACTAGCTTAATCTAAATAATGAACAGGCAGAGGCATAGGTAGAAAATTGATAAAAAAAAAAAAAAAAAAAAACCCAAACAATAATTAAAAAAATCAAATTAATAATTAAATGAGATTGATAGAGATAAAAAATTGATGGAGCCGTGGCCCCTACCTATCTCTCTAGCGCTGCTCTTGCTAACAGCTAAATCCTATATAGTTTCAGTCTTTTCCCAGCAAAAAAGTAATGGAAAGATAAGAGGATAAAAAGAAAAAATGGAAATTGAGTTAACAAGGATCAAATGTTTTATTTGTAAGGTTTAAATTTAAGTTTTATTGCAAACAATCGTTCTTAATGACAATCTGTAAATAAAATATAAATCCTCCTTAAACCTACCATATATCCTGACCTTGAAATGGATAATCTCCCTTCATTTAAATTTTTTAATATAAAAAAAAAAAAAAAGAAGCAAAGAAAAAGCTTTCTATTGGTTTTGGGGCCCTTATGTCCCCTTGTTTTCCAAGATTGGGCCATGCCCATTTCTATGTGAAGAATAAACAAGGTAAGATGAAAGCTTAGCCGTGGTGGGCGGATTGGTTTCCATATACGAGTAGCCGCTCTAATTCTCAACTTCTATATATGCTGCCCATGCAGCTAGATGACAATAAGTCTTTGATTTTATATGAGAAATCAATACCATATTACGTAATACGTAAGTCTTTCTTGTCACGTTAGTTGTAAATTTAATAAATTCAAATAAAAATTTGAATTTATATGTTAACATACATCAACATCTTATAATCTCACATAATTGTTATTGTTAACTTATAAATTTCATATAGCTAGCCATAGGAGTATAAATGATATATTAGTACTCGTAAGTTACTCGGGTTCGATTTGAAGAAAACTCGAATTCGTTTGATTATTATTGAGTCAAGATCGAGCTTGAGTAGCTCGACTCATCGATCCAGCCGATTTTGAGTATTTTTATACCCAATTCGAGTAGCTCACGAACTTAATCGAACTTTTATATTTAAATATTTTTTATTATTTTAATTAATAAAATATCTCAAATTCAAATTCGAGCTCAAGCACAAATAATTGAACTCTTATTGCGTATACGAATCAAGCTTATTTTTATATATTAATTGAGCTTAATCGAGCGAGCTCGAGTATTTCGATCACGAATCGAGCTCGAGCTAAAAAAATAA